GGATTTATTAAATATGCGTGTGCTTATGATATATAATGCATGTTGGTGATATAGATGTGATGATTGATATATATATATATATATATTGTCTATTACAATAGAATGTAAAAAAAATTACAATTCTCGGGGTCTTTGCCGAGTGCCATGGGAAAGGCACTCGGCAAAGATTTTTCAAAAAAAAATATAATTTCTTTGCCGAGTGCCTCGACGCGGCACTCGGCAAAGTATTTTTTTTTAAAAAAATTCAGAAATTCTTTGCCGAGTGCCTAAACAGGGGCACTCGGCAAAGAAATTATTTAAAAAAAAAACAAAAAAAAACTTTGCCGAGTGCTTGGGCAGAGGCACTTGGCAAAGTATTTTTTTAAAAAAAAAATAAAAAAAAACTTTGCCGAGTGCCTGGGCTGGGGCACTCGGCAAAGTATTTTTTTAAAAAAAAATTTGCCCAGTGCTGGGTCGGGCACTCAGCAAAATAACCGTTAATGGCCGGCGCCGCAACGGCCGAAAATATTTTGCCGAGTGCCGCCCCAAGCGCTCGGCAAATTTTTTTTTATTTTGCCGAGTGCCCAGATAAAAAGCACTCGGCAAAGACCCTTTGCCGAGAAAAATTTTGCCGAGCGGACTTTGCCGAGTACTACACTCGGCAAAGCCTTTGCCGAGTGCAAAGGGCTTTTTGCCGAGTGTAAAAACACTCGGCAAAGCCGCGGCCTCCAGTAGTGTACGTAGCTAAGCATCATTATTTCACAAGTCAATAAATAATAAGATAATGGAACATCTTTAAAATTAATTGGCATAAAAGGCATATATTATGGTGTTGTTTGTAAATGCAAATGGTAACGAAATGGCATTACACTGAAACCTTAAACGATATATCAAATCACAATATTTGTTTTGTTGGGGTTGGTAATCCATTACACCCGAACCTTAAACGATATATCAAATCACAGTTTTGTTTGGTTGTGGTTGGTAATAGAATCCAAAATAATGCTTTCGCTCACTCTCGCACCCTCAGCAGCGGGGCTTGTTAAGTAGCTCCTGTTACGTGAAGATGCAGAACGCTAGGTGCTTACCTTGGCTACGTCTTCAAAGCGTTACCACACCGTGGCCACAGCCAACAACTATGTCGGTATCAGCTCTCTGCTAGCTCGTATTGTCTTGCTTACTGAAGGGGCTGAAACAAACACACGACAACATAATTCGTTACCTCACGTAGTCATGTCCGGTTACATTTCTCTCAACCAAACTTTATCTAAATAGTACTCCTTTGTCCCGAAATATAAGACATGCATATATTTCAAAATTCAATTTTTAATCAACAATTAGTCTAATCATATGAAAAGTCTATACTATAAAAGTGATTAGATTACATTTGTACTAAAAAACTACTATCTATTCATTAAACTTTTATTGCCACGAATTGTATATTGGAAGCAAAATAGTGATCGAAGTGTGCTCTTGAAGACTACACTATGTTAAATCACATCTTATATTTTGAGAAGAAGGAAGTATCTTTCACATGTATCAATTGTATTAATCAAATTGTAACAATAGTAAAACATTGATAACAAAAATTAAATAAAATATGAGAGATACATATAGGATAAAAAATATATGACAAAACCTTAACCAGGTCTTAACAAATATATGACAAAACCCTAACGAGGTATTCGAGCTCGGCTCACTGGCGCTCCCAGTCTAGCTAGGATCGAGCTTCTGGTTAGGCCGGCTGGATGGCCCTCTGATCCTACTCTGGATCTAATGTCAAGACAAGGTATATTCATATGTCTCATTTAGGAATAACAAATTCGTGGGCATAGCTCATCAAGCCCGAGTTCAGGTTTTTTGTACAACACGAGTCATACACATTTTGCCTCTATCGCAGGGAGCAGAGGTTCCTTTCACCATACCACCTCCGTCCTATAATACTTGGATTTTTTAGCCTTCTAGACCTAGGTCACTTCCAATCCAGATGTGGTTTCTATGTTCATTAATTAGAATACTAACTAAACAAAAGGGTAATGTAGCACTGCAATTAAAGAAAAGAGAGGAGAAAATTGTTTCTTAAATAAGAAATCATGTCTATACAAGAATCAAGACAAGAAGAGATGTGATTGGTAATAACAAAGAGAGAAAGTATATGATTGGAGAAAAAAATATTTTGTAGTTACTATCCATTAAGAACATAATTTTATATGTAGTATGTATATAAATTAATGGATAAAGAAACTACATGTGGTTTCTAACATTGAGACGGCTCTTATTCCAAATTAGTTGTCATTCTCTAGGGATGAAAAACGGATCAGATTCACATGGAATCAAATCTGGATATCACCTTTTACCACATTTTAATTCAAATTCAAATATGGACATAGATATTTTTTAATAAAAAACAAAAAGGATGGCTTAGGTTCATATATTTACTCAACTCAACTCAAAGTATATATTGTTAAATACAACATTCATTAATGGAATTTTACTACTAAGTGCATCGACAACCAAAGTGAAATAAAATCAATGTATGGTTCTAATAATCTCTAATATCGAAGTGAACTAAATTATAATGGATAATATTTAATAAAATGATAGGTTAAGTGAAGAAATTCAAACAAGAATGGTAGGCAACAGGTAGCCATTTTGCTTTATCAACGTTTTTTAATTACAAAATTGTTACACAAGTAGAGATTAAAGTATGCGGGTATATAACATTGACAATGATAGCTCAACAAAAATAATATATGTATCATGAAATATTTAATAATTAAGTATATCAATTAATCCATCATTATTTAGTATAATATTTATTATGAAATTATAAATTATTTAACTAATTTAAATTAGTAAATAAATAAATTAAAGTATTAAAATAATTTACAACAATGAATATATTAGGTTTAAATGGTATTAGAATAATATTAAAATTAATTTAATCTTTATGTATCATTAATAATATTTAAATAATATTTAAAGATATTTATAGATATAATATTAAATAGTTTTGATGCATCATTAGTAATATTTAAATTAAGTAATTAGTCACTAGCCATGGAGAGAAAACTTTTAAATAGATTAATTATACCTTCCATGGATACAGATAAGTGTCAAATATTCCATTTTTTGTCGAATACATATATAAAATCAAATAGAGAAAAAAAACAAAAAAAAAACAAATTCGATTACATCTATTTAGTATCACACTAGAAATGGATACGAATATGGATATTCATATTATAAGCTTTAGCATATAGGAACGGAGGCACTAGCGCCCGAACGTCCGATGCCCGTAGTGCGTCCAGACGCAAATCCCAGTCCCAGCGAACCGAACCATGGCCCAGCTCCCGGTCACAGGCCCGACGCAGCTCGCCCCCCGTCCGTCTTCGCCCCGACCCCGTCTGCCTTCGCCTCGCCCCACATGTGCACTTCGTCCCGTCTCTACACCTGTCGGTCGCCCCTGATCCCCTCCTCTTTCTCCGCGTGGGCGGCACTCAGGAGATGGGATGAGCAGCTTAGGACGAGCACGCCCCAGCGTGACCAGACCGTAACACCCCTGTCCACCGGCCCCCGGCGCGCCGCGTGCCCCGTCCACCAGCCCCTGGCTCACCACCGGCCGAACAACATAAAACACTTGCAACATGAATGCAACATAAGACTGAAAACAAATGAAACATTTGGAAACATGCTTTTGCAATATGTGTGTGAAACACCATGAAACATCCAAAATAAAACACTTGTAACTTGCAACATTAAACCATTTGTTGCAACATAAGACTAAAACAGCTAAAACATTTGGAAACATACTGTTGCAATATATGCAACATTCAGATAAAATACGATTGCAACATACGTCTCAAAATAGATGAAACATTTTAAACAAACGCTTGCAACATGTGTCTGAAAACATTCAACATATGCAACATGTGCAATATCCCTCGATCTATTTCTACAACATTAAGATGAAACAATTATAACATACGTCTGAAACACTTGAAACATACCTATGCAACATAGGGAAAATATCGGGCTGGTCAATTCCGGCCATCGAGGTCGGAGCCGGCGGCGAGCCGTGGCGCACGAGCACCACCAACACCGCCTACGCTCGTGGGTCCCTTGGCACGATTGTGGAAGACCTGAGGCGGCACTGCACATGCGCCCCCAGCAGCCATGGCGGGGTCAGCGGCATGCGCGACAACGATGGGAGACAGACAGCGAACAGAGCGAGGGAGCAAGCAGCACAGGTGTCTGGGATGAGCGCGCGGCGCGGCCAAGGATGGGGTGCAAGGCGGTGGTGCATGGCACTGCAGCAAACGAGCGCGCGTGGCAGGGCCACGGACAATGAGCAGCCACGCTACTTCGGGGCCTAGCGGATAAGCACAAAGGAGTTAGGGGCGGAGGAGCGGATAAGAAGGGAGTGAGGGATTTTATTTTTTGTTTGGGGCCACGTCCGGGAGTCGGACTTTGGATCATTTCTGATATAGGAATGTCGGATATATTGGACACCCATTTTCATTTTCATCCCTATTATTCTCACTTTCCAATGCACATTTCTCTTTGCCCACAATATCTTTTCTCTCTATCTCTCCTCCTTATTTCCTGTGCACTACCAACCTTTTACTCCTTGAATCCTATGCTAAAACATCACCTATTATGGTAGGGGAATAGCTTTCAAGAGACTGATACTAAGTTACCACATTCAACAAGCAAGATGAATGACATACCTGTTCATCGCCTTTATACACTATGAAATTCATCGCAGGAAAATTCCGGCAGTCGGTGTTTCAGCCTTTCAGCCATGCAAGCTTTTCAGCACACGGGAACACAAAACCGACGCTGCGAGCTAGAGTTCTTCCAAACTTACAACGGTTTCTTTCATGAGGTAGTGTAGAGTCCGAAACGATTATTTCACCAAATGGCTGCGCAGGTATAACTTTAAGGCCTGCTCTCTCTACAGAGCTATATCAAAATCAAAAGGTCCCCAGTTCCAAGAATCTACAGGGGTCTCGTATCTTTCAGAACGGGTAGTTGATGGGGTCGCGCTGCAGGGCCTTCTGTACCAGCTCCGCCTGCTCCTGCACGTGCACCGAGTAGAAGCCCGTCGCGGTAGCAGCGGACGGAGCCCTGCCGACATACTTGATGTCCTCGATGCGACCCCAGCCCAGAGCCTTCATCGCCGTCAGCAGCCGCGGGTTGATGTAGCTGTACGCTCCCATGTTCATGGGCTCCTCCTGGCACCACACGATCTCAGCATCTGCACAACATAAACACGTGTGTATCAGCTTGTTTGCTGTTTACTAGGACTCATCCATTAGAATGTACAATATGTCAACTATCCTTCCAGCTAGCAAAACATATTCTAGTATACAGTTGACAAATTAGAAATCATGCAGCAGAGCAAAAAGAGCAACCACTTTTTTCTAAACACATACTTGGATATCTCTTCAACTCGCGCTGGATGAGGTCATAGGGGAACGGGCAGAGCTGCTCAACTCTACATATAGCAACATCAGTGCGCTCCGTCTTCCTTCTTTCTTCATCCAGTTCATAGTACACCTGAAATCAAAGTAAAAAAAGGGTCAAAGAATGGCTTGCCAGTTTGCCAAAGAGGAACCTAACGATCTTCAAAGTACAACTTCCAAGAGTGACACAACCTACCTTTCCAGAGCAAAGAACTAGACGGTTGATTCCCTCCTCGAGATCCTTGTGATTATTCTGGTCCTTAATGAGCCGCTTGAAGCGTGTCCCTTGCTTGTCGAATCCAGGGTGGCCCGCAAGATCATCAAATTCAGATAGGTTGGATTTGCAGTCCTTGTGGCGAAGGAGGTTCTTTGGGGACATCACAATCAAAGGCTTCCTGAAGTCCCGGTGTATCTAGAAATAAAGGAAAACCATTTCAGTGCAGCACATCAGATGGTTTTACAGGAGGAAGGGGAAATTTTACAAAGATCTTCACCTGACGACGCAGAACATGGAAATAATTTGCAGGAGTCGTTACATTAACGACCTGCCAATTGCACTCCTGGATTTGCTTCCGCAGTGTTGGATCCATCTCTGGTATAACATAAGGGTTGTCATCACTCATCTGCAATACAGTTATTGATGTTTAATATAAAAGGATGTAGGTAACCAAAAACTATCAGCATCTAAATGACGTAGAGCCAAAAATACATTTCCATAACTAAAACTGAACGTATTTCTCTGACATTTAGACTCATTACATGTATAACTGATAAACTGCATAATAGAGGAGTAACTGCAAATCCATCAATATGCAAGTGTTGATTTGATTGCATTCTCTATTCAAAAATCAAAAAATCGAGTATGTAAAGTTAATGTTGTGACCAGTGAGCTACCATGGACAATTTTGATGCATTTCCATTGCATGTAGGTATTTGGCTGCCAAGTTATCAGCTCATGACAAAGGGAAAATATTAAACATTGTAAGCAACAAATTCAATTTTCTGGTAATGATAATGCTCATCATTGGCAAATGGCATAAACATTTCCAAAGGAAAAAAAAAGACTAGGTTTGTGGTAGAGCTAATTTACAGTAATTGATCTTGGAACTGTTCCTTTTAAGTGTATGGATAATACTTCAAACACGGGTTATTATTGTGCCTGCATCTTTGCAATTGAAAAATACAAAATAGTACCTGAAGAAAGCGCTCCAATCTTGCACTAGAATGTTCAGGCCCCTGACCATCATATCCATGAGGAAGGCAAACAACAAGGCCAGTCTGGCGGAGCCATTTTGACTCTCCACTACTCAGGAACTGATCAAATATCACTTGAGCTCCATTTGCAAAATCACCAAACTGAGCTTCCCATAAGACCAATGAGTTCGGGTTTTCCATGGAGTAACCCAATTCAAAGCCCAAAACAGCAAATTCTGACAGGGAACTGCCGAAACAATTGCATACATCAGATCAGGCCAAAAAAAGCCAGTTGACTATAAAAAGGGGAAATAATCAGGTACAAAAAGATGGTATCTCCATATGTTTATATTACTATATATATCAGCCCTTAATCTCAAGGTTATGATTCCCTAAAGAGGAACTCCAAAACTTGTTTTCATCTGAAATAAAAGTTACAAATTTGGCCAGTTGAGGCTGCAAATGTTCAGTTTTAAATTTTTTTCCCCTTGAACTACCGAGGAGAGCTATGTGCATTTCACTAAGAAAGAAAGATACAATGAGTGTTGTTAAAATAACCAGACTCAAGACATCCCACATACTCAGCCATATATACTTTTTCTTATATTTTGCATCTGAAAATTCATAGTGAAAGATGACATACAAGCATGTAGAAATCAGCCATAAAATCCAACAACCGTTGAAACTTTTTATCATTCAGTCCTGTATCTAGGTTGTTTTAATCTGATTACTAATCAATCTCAGTACTCGTTATGCTTTTACAACAATTTGTTCCTTATCTAGATCATCTCAGTGGTCAGTGCCTACAATGCATGGAAACAGGAATATTTACACAGCATATCATTAGTCAGGAATCCTATTCCTCGCCTGTGTTTCCGGCTTTATGCTGCACCTTACATGTGCTTCTCAATTCAGCAATACAAACCTTGTAGCATTATTTCAGAAGTTCAAATAATTAATGATACCAATATACCACAATAGAGATCTATGTTTGAATAGGAGTACTTGGAAAGCAGCTATTGAAGTGCCTGAACCGTGACTTGGGGCTCTTGGTGGGTTTCAACTCTAGCCTACCCCAACTTGCTTGGGACTGAAAGGTTATGTTGTTGTTGTTGTTGTAATATACCACAATACCCACACATCAGTAGTAAGTAGGTAGTACAACAAGACAGACCACTGATAGAACAACAATGTTATTTCACCTGAAGTTGTTTGACATATGGATATGCAATGACTTATTTTATTTTTTTATTTTTATTTTTTGCTGCTCATTATGTGGAAACAGAAATCAACTAGTGCAGCTGACACAAGTAAATGGTTCTATTTTGGGTCTATCTAGTTATTGTAATAACATTTCATGTTTCCTATAGAAGGCGAACTTAAGCTGCTAACCCATGCACATCCCTAACTGGAACAAACTTAGTATATTTTCTTTCATACCTGTTGCTTACAGTAAAAAGTTCCTCATCCTGATTCATAACAAGATGATCCAGCGGGCAGTACTGCTCTCCAGTTTCTTGGTCATGGATGACAGCATGACGGTGGCTGAATGTACCCCTCTCAACATCCTGACCACTTAACCTGACATGGTTCCCCTCAATTATAAGAGTAGCAAAAGCAAGCGCTTCACCAACTGCCCAATCAATGCCTTCTCCAGTCTCGATCATCTGGCGCCGCAGATCAAAAATCTTCTTCACAGCCCTGTGAGGCTTGAAATTTTCTGGCAGAGTAGTCATGGCTTCTCCAATACGTTTTAGAATCTCTGGCTTGACACTGCATGGTTGAAAATGCATTCAAGGAAGCCCAATTGTTTTTTGTCAGTTCAAGATCACTTAAAATGTGAAGAAACACAGAGACGGTCAAACTAGGCGGGAAGATCTATTTACCCAGTGTTTCGGATACGCGAAATCTGCTCTGGTGACTTGAACCCAGTCCAGTAAGCTGAAAGCCAGTCCCTCTTGTTGGGAACATAGTCTTTGCTATTCTGGAATTCCTCATTAAGTATAGTGCTGACCTTCTTGTTTAACTTATCAATATCTTCCTTTGAGATCTTCCCAGACTCCAACAACTTTCTTTGATAAATCTCAAGCGCACTTGGATGGTTCCTAATCACCTGATGCAAACAGAAACCACTTTCGAAATGTGAATGGGCACAATCACACATTTGACAGTGACAAATAATATCGAAACTACACCAAATTTGATTATTCAGAATCAATCTTGGTTTCAGACTTTTAAGAATTCTTCTGATTATGATACCAAAAGATACATAATAGACTCATATTTTTTGTCCTTCAACATTTAACTAGATGGAGTACTGAAGATATCACTACTCAAATGGTACAGCAAGAATCAGGATTGAAATAACCATGTGAAGACAAAAGTATGCAAATTTGTGCTAAATCTTAACAACAAAGTGAAACAAAGAGTGTGTACCTTGTACATCTTAGGTTGGGTGAAGGATGGCTCGTCAATTTCGTTATGGCCAAATCGCCGGTAGCATACAATGTCCACCACTACATCTGAATGAAATGTCTGTCGCCATTCTGCAGCGAGCTCACAGATATGAACAACGGCCTCCAAATCATCACCATTAACATGGAAAATTGGAGCATCCAATGCTTTTGCTACGTCTGTGCAATACTGCGAGGATCTCCCTGACTTTGGATCAGTAGTGAAAGCAACCTGATTATTGACCACGATATGTATTGTCCCACCAGTGGTGTAGTTTTCAAGGGCACTGAGATGCAGCGTCTCATACACAACGCCCTGACCTGAGAAACTACCATCACCATGCAGCAACACTCCCAAATTCTTGGTCCTGTCACGGTCATTAGAATAGTACTGTTTCGCTCTCGTCTTCCCAGCAACAACAGGATCAACTGCTTCCAAATGACTCGGGTTTGCAACCAGTGACAGATGGATATGTTTCCCACCCCTGGTAGGCCTATCATATGAAGTTCCAAGATGGTACTTGACATCACCAGTCCCTGTATACAACCCCTCCCCTTCATTGACAGGCTTGGTACCACCACTAAACTCGCTGAATATCTGTCGCAAGGGCTTCCTCACAACATTTCCCAAGATATTTAGCCTGCCTCTGTGTGGCATCCCAATGACAATACTCCCTACACCAAGATCAGCTGCCCTGTCAAACATCTCTTTCATGCCAGGGATCAGAGTCTCAGCGCCTTCAAGACCGAACCGTTTTGCAGTCGTCCACTTGGTTGCCAAGAAATTCTCAAACTGTGTGCTCCAGATAAGCCTATCCAGCATGACCTGACGACGCTCATAAGAGTACTCCCTTGGGTTAACTGTCTCGATCCTATCCCTGAGCCAGTTGCACTTCTCCCTGTCAGGTATGTGCATGTACTCATACCCAATGGTGCCACAGTAGGCCCGCTCGAGCCGCTCCAGCACGGAACGCAGCGTCTGCACTGGCCGGTTCTCCTCAAGGAACCCAGCCATCCTCCACACCCCAAGGAAGAACTCGCGGTCCAAGTCCGCCTCAGAGAACCCATAGAACGCCGGGTCCAGCACGTCCGGGACCGGGCGCTCCTCCAGCCCAAGCGGGTCGAGCTTGGCCTTCAGATGGCCGCTCACCTGGTACGCCCTGACAAGCAGCAGCAGCCTCATGCTCTCCTGGATGGTCTGGCCGGAGAGGCCGGGAGAGGTGGCGGCAGCCTGGCCGACGAAGTTGCGGAAGAAGTTGTCCCAGGACTCGTCGACAGAGTTGGGGTCGGCCTCCCAGGCCCGCTGCAGCTCCTCGAGGTAGACGCTGCTGGTCCCGTCGAGGAAGCTGTCGGTGAGGCGCGAGAGCGGCACCGCGCGGGGTGCGGGCGCGGCGAACCGGCGCGGGCGGGTGGAGTGGAAGTAGCGCGCCGGCGCGGCGCCCGGGACGGCGCCACCGCCGCTGGCGAAGGGGCTCGCCGCGGCGCGCGAGAGGTTCCGCCGCAGCGCCACACGGGCCAGGCCAGACGCCGCCCGGAACAGCCCCATTTTCAGATCGAGGTCGCTTCACCAAAAATCAACCGCGAAGGTAGGTGTCTGACTGGTGGATTGCCGGAATCAAGCATCCCATCAGCCACCGCGCACGTGATCGATCGCACGTCCCCCCTGCACGACAACAGGAGATTGATTAAGGTCTCCATAGAGAGCAGCAGGAACAACAACAGATTAGGCACCGAAATTCCAGGGCAAGGGAACTGAATTTTGCACGTATCGCGGCTGGGCTTCCCAAATCGAACTAAATCTCGATCAACTACGCACTGCGCAGATCAATAACCACAGATCAGTCGCCATCCGAGATCGGTCACTCCGAACAGAGCACTGAGACCCGCGATCTCACCTCATAACCCTAGGGACTAACAACAAGCACTAAGCACATTCCGCAGCAAACAACCGATCGGATGAAACTAAGAGAAAACCGCGTGACGGAATCCGGCACGGAGGGAACAACGAGCGGGCGAGCCTTACCTGGGCTAGTGGTCGGCTGGGGCGGGGAAGGGTCTCGCGCCGCGCCGCCGCGCTCCGGTGGTTCGGGAAAGGAGGATGGGGACGGGTACGCTTCCAGGGCCGTCTCCCCCGTGATGATGTTGATTTTTGGTGATAAGAGGGCGAAGGTGCGGCGTTGGCCCGCCTGGGCCCCTTCTCTTCTCTCCCCGGTGCCGGTGCCGATGCCGATGCCGATAGATTCGGAGAGATGGGATGGGGTGAGACGGAAAAGTGGACCGGAGTGGGCCCTGACGACAGCGTCACAGTTTTAAACGGGCTGGCCCACAGACTCCTCCTCCTCCCTCTGGAACCTGGATGGGTGGAGCGACCAACGACGACGAGTCGTGTGTCGCCAAGTGGGGCGGCTGGCTGCCTGGCCTGGGCCTGCAACGGGGCTTCTTCCGCGGAGCCCGACGTACGCTTGGGCTTGGGCGCTTGACTCAAACACAAGGTCGAACGGATGCGCAGCGGCCCCAAAAAAAAAAAAAAATACTATACAACACACATGTGTTTTAGTAAAAAAAAATTATCCCTCTCTCTTTTCAACTGCTTGCAGCGGTGATGGGGCTGGGGACTTGCAGGACCCAGTGCGGGGACGTGAGCGTGCCCTTCCCGTTCGGTCTGAGCCCCGGGTGCCACCCGCTGGAGTTCGACCTCACCTGCGACACCAGCCACACGCCGCCGCGGCTGCTCCTTGGCAACGGCACCCTCTAGGTGACTGACATCTCCCTTGATTGGGAACTTTTTTTTGTCCTTGCATAAAAAAAAATTATTTCTTGGAATTTGTGGATCTGTGATATTGTGATTTGTGATTGTCTGGATATAGAAGAAGATTGAAGGTAGAAGGAGGATGAAGGCTGTTGGATCTTAATTCTATGGTGCAAAAAAATTCATGTGTTGAAACTGCATAAAACACATAGTTGTTGGGTAGACAGACTCAAAAAGAAGAGTGGCCATTCAGGTCGCCTCAAAAAAATCTCGGGTTATTTCGGATTTTAGAAAATTTGGATTTCTAAAACTGTTACCCGATATTTGTGCTAAAAAGGATGGGGTACCTGAAAATTTGAATTCAGGTTTGGGTATTTTTTAATTACCCGTTTACAATTTCCATCCTAGAGAGAAAACAAAAATTTCTGAAGAAACGGAGCTAAAGCCTAAATCGGGGAATGTCACTGTCGAGCGGGAGCAGCACCGGGGCCACCACGCTCGCCCTACTTGACCACCACACCACCGAGGCACCGATCTCGCCTATCAACTCGTCTCATGCACCGACGACTCACCTCCCACGCTAAATTGATGCCTTGAACATGCGCCACCTTTGATCTAGCTAACTAGGTAGCAAAACTCACCTGCTAGCTATGGCCATGCCTCATGGCCCGTGCATCAAGGGTTGGATCAAGAATAAGAAGCAAGAGGAGATTTAGGGCGTGTTTGTTTTCGCTTATAATCGGAATCGAGGCGAAAAGAAGCGAGAATCCCACCCAAACACCCTCGCTTATTTTAGATTATGTAATCATCGGGAAGGTGAAAACAATCCTAAATGAACTTGTACCAGCGTTTTGCGCACCGCGAGCGAGCGACTGCGTTTCCCACACCACAACTCTTTTTCCACCCTCTGCCCCTCCGCTCACCCATCCATCTCCCGTCCACTCCTCTCCACTCACGACTCTCATTCGCTAGGGTTCACGCCGCCGCTTGCACTCGCGCCGCCCCTCCCCTCTAGGTGACTAATTTCATGTTTGATGCAATTAGTGTTACTAATGAGACTTCATATGTTCCTGTTGGTGGTAGTGATGCTCTCCAAATAGGTCAAGGTGAGGATGCTGCTGATGCTATCAGTGAGGATGGTGTGACACCAAAGGTCACACCCACTTTAGACAAACGGGTTCAAAAAAGACCAGCCCCAATTTCACCTCCGGAAAAGAAGAAGAAGACTTTTAGAGATCAATGCATGAAGCGTTTAGTGGATGCATATGAGAAGAAGGCACAAAGTAGTAAACAGTCAGCCACTTCACATGTCATTGATCATGTTAGAGATGAGGTTACTAAAATGATTGATCAAGTCATTGAGGATGGTGCTGAGGAAGGGAGTGATGAGCACTACTATGCCACACAACTACTTATGAAGAAGGAGTATCGTGACATGTTTAGTACTTTGAAGACACCTAGTGGGAGGTTAGGATGGCTGCGAAGGGCATGGGATGACAAGAACAAGAATTAGTGTTAGATTGAGGCAGTCACATTTATGTTTTATTTTCCAATTCCTTGTGTGAGACTATGGCTATTTTTCCAATTCGTTGTGCGAGACTATGCTATTTTTCCAATTCCTTGTGTGACACAATAATGTTGTTTAATTTGCCAACTTCCTTGTGTGAGACAATATTGCTATTTATAATTTGCAAAGCGTTGGATGTGAGAAAATATCTAATTGGTGGATGTTTTTGTGTCATAGATAATTATGAGTACATCTAGTGCTTCTAGTGAAATTGACTCAGATGATGATGACTTTATGGTGGCATACATTGCTTTGGAGTGCATGGGTAGTACAGGTAGAAAGAAAGCTGAAATTCCTATGACAATTTCAACTATGACTAGAATCTAGTGGGTTGAGATCACACTCCAAAATCCAACTGAATGCTATAACATGTTCAGAATGAGAAGGTCAGTTTTCCTACACCTTCATGACACCTTGGTAGAAAATTATGGCTTCAAAGCAAGTAGAGGAATGTGTATGAAGGAAGCCTTAGCAATGTTTTTGTGGGCATGTGGTGCACCTCAATCATTTAGGCAAGTGAAGAACAAGTTCACCCACTGATTAGAAACTATTAGCAGGAAATTTACAGAGGTACTTAAGTGTGTCATGCAATTGGCTTTTTACATTGTGAGGCCTACATATCCACATTTTAGTTCTATACATCCTAAGCTACAAGAAGCTAGGTTTTGGCCTCATTTCAAAGATTGCATTGGTGCAATCGATAGCACACATATACCAGTAACTGTTCCATTGCATGAGCAACCTAAATACATTGGTCGCCATGGTTATGCTTCGCAAAATGTAATGGCGGTCTATGACCTTGATATGCGGTTCATATTTGTTGTCACTGGTTGGCCCGGATCTGTGCATGACAGTCGTGTCTTATTGGATACTCTAGTCACATACAAGCAACAATTCCCACACCCTCCCGAAGGTATGTATCTTTTGGACTCAAATCATTTTTTTGCAATTGACAAGGATATGAGGTGTTAAGTAACCTACAATTACAAAATGTAGGAAAGTATTATCTCGTCGATTCAGGATACCCTAATAAAAAAAGGATATCTTGCACCATACAAGGGACAAAGGTACCATGTTTCTGAATGGCAACATGGTCGTACTCCAGTGGGATTCAAGGAGGTGTTCAATAATGCGCATTCAAGTTTGAGAAACGTGATTGAGAGGTCATTTGGAGTCCTAAAGATGAAATGGCGCATTCTCTTGAAGATGCCCAAATATTCAGTGAACAAGCAATCAAAAATTATAGTTGCTTGTATGACCCTTCACAATTTCATTAGAGACAATTCCATAAATGATGCTCACTTTCAATCAAATATCCAAGAAGAAGGTACAGACGGACTCGAATCTAGCTCGGGTGAAGGAAGTGCTTCTGGAGATGATATGGATATGAGTGCTTTGCGTGATGCTATAGCCACGGCTATGGTTGGTTGATTAACTGTTGTATCGATCTCAATTTGTCCAGACTTTTGTTAATTTCATGTTGCCTACACATTAGTTATTGTCACAAACTAATTATTATGGAAACACAAAAAATTAGTACCATAACTGTTTTCAGCTCGTATTCAGTGAACAAATGAGGTGTCATCAGCCTCAGGGGCATATAGGTCATTTTGCACTCAGGACAGACAATCTAAGGGCAATAATCAGGATTGCCAAACACCCTCGATTGTTTAGACAGCAGATTCTTTTCGTCGCAACTTATCAAAAAATCCTGATCAGATTAAAATCAATTCTCAGATAAGCGTTCCTAAACAGGGCCTTAGATTGTGGATGAGGATTAAGGATAGAGAAAGAGAGAGATTGGCGGTTTGATCCGAGGGTGGAGAGGTGGTGTCACTTAGATTCATGAGCCCACTTTCACCTTCGCTTCCCCCTATAAATAGAGGCTCACTCCTCACTTGAAACCAATCAAGCAAGCAACAACACTCAAGCAGTTCCGACCTATCCTATGAGTTGCTTCTTGATTCCAAAAGATACATGTCGCAAGATGAAATCCGTGATCTCAAACTATTGGTGGGGCAGCTCGGCAGATAGCAGGCACATCCATTGGCAACGGTGGGAGCTGCTGACCAGGCAAAAACCGCTTGGCGAGATGGGATTCCGAGACCTCAGGTTATTTAATCTTGCTATGCTAGGAAAATAGGTGGCGTTTGATTGAGCATCCTGACTCGCTGTGTGCACGGGTACTGAAAGGCCGATACTTTCATGATTCATACTTCCTGACGGCAAGAAGGAAGAAGCGTTCCAGCCACACATGGCACGCTATTCTCGCTGGAAGGGAGGTACTATAGAAGGGCCTTATTCACAGAGTTGGTGATGGGAGCACTATGAGGATATGGCTGGACAGATGGATCCCAAACCACTTCAACGGGAGACCGATTGTCACTAATATGAATGCACCAGTGACCATGGTGGCGGACCTTCTGACTCCGAGTGGTGCGTGGAATACAGAACTAATAAAACAAGTTTTTGTGGATGCTGATGCTCATGCGATCTTGAGCACACAAGTGAGAGGGCTGCGGGCCGATGTCTGGGCCTGGGTGCCTAAGAGACATGGTCTCTATACGGTTAAGTCGGCATATAGACAACTCTATGATCAGCAGTGCCGACTTCTGGAGGGTGATCAAGCCTCTTGATTAGGTGATATAACTTGGAACCGGGTCTGGAAACTTGAGTTGTCCCCAAAGATCCAGTTTTTTTTGTGTAGAGTGGTAAATGGCTTCCTCCCGACCAAAGGTGTCCTTCACCGGAGACATGTGGAGCCATTACCGAACTGTGATACTTGTGGAGCATATGAGGAAACGATCAAACCAAAAATCTGAGATCATCTCCTTACTGCATCAAATGGAAGATCTTAACCAGAGCTTCGAAGCTTTTGATTTAATGTTCATTCATAGAGATTGTAATAGATTAGCTCATGAATGTGCTCGCTCTAGTATCCAATGAACACCAGGTGGTGGAGTGGCTTATAACCCCACCTGGGTTAAGGGATATAGTTGACGCTGATTGTAATAGCGCTCATGGCTAATATATGAAGCTCTGGTGTTCCAAAAAAAGAGTCCTCTCCTCATTTATCATAGTAGTAGCAATAGTAGTAGTGTAGTTGGGAGTTATAGTGAGTGTGAGCTTATAGTCATCCTAGTCTTTAAGGTGAAGCTCTTGTATCCTTTACTTTGTAGTACTTTGAGTATTTATTTATATATCTTGTTTACTTTACTTTATTGCCTTAGTAGTGTTTGTACTCTCTGTTATGTTTATAGTAGTAGTAGTAGTACCACCTTTAGTTGTGTGTTATACTTAGTTGTCTAATCTTGTATGTTAAGTAGTAGTGATCACTCCTTTGCATTGGCTCATTGCTTAACTATTTAAGTGGTCTAGTTCATCTTGAGGCATGTGCTAGAGTAGTAAATGATAGTGTATACATGGTGGCTAGACTAGAGTTTACATTTGTTCATGGCTCGCCCCATGGATAGTTTTTTTAGAAATACACAGTACAACGTAGACGCTCACAACACGCACGCACACTCACCCTTATGAACACACGTATGCAAACCCTACCCCTATGAGCACCTTTGAAGGACTGAGCCAGCAAATCTCGAGATCCACGAAGTCACCACAGGCGCCTCGCTGTTGACGGTGACGTCGCCTACCATTGAAAGCATAGCGTCGATAAATCTTGGAATAAATCTAGGAAAATGCGAGCACCCATGCCAAGTCAGGACTTGAACCCGGGTGGACAGGTTCCACAACAAGGATTCCAACCAACTGATCTATGGTAGCAAGTGGTGATGACCCTATATATCTATCATCTACATTCCACCATGTTTGAGTGAGTTCTTAAATTATAGAGTTCTTTGCAGGAACGGTTTGACATCCTTCTCACTCCTTTCTGTTGTTTACCGGGTCTGTCCTCCCATGTTTGATGTGTGATCACTAGTATCTAGGTGTGCTAAGTTGTATAACTAGTTATTCCTGTTTAGATCCACTTATCACGTTGTCCTCCCAACTAGGATGTTGTTGGCGGTCCTTAATGACCAAATCTGACCGCCAATTAGGACATGAAAAGGGGAGAAATTAACAAACTTAAACACATATGCATTTACCACTGACCAAGTTCCACATGTATTTGGAAGATTATTATTTTACAGGACATGCACAAATACATGAGAGAATACACCAAAAGGCGCTTCCCGATGTTGATTTGTGCAAAGGAATAAATAGAAAAAGCCCATCAAATCAAAGCATCTAGGCAAAGTACCGACTGAGGAGCAATCTAGGCCCACTCCAGAGCCCACCACATGAAGGCGGTGGTGAGAGGGCCTGGTTAGGGGTCGACCGACCCCTAGGGTCGCCTGTTGACCCACCTAGCGCCGCTCGCACCCTCCTTCCACATGGTGCTTGCTGGTGGTCTTCCCATGGTGGTGGCATGCGGGCATGCGACAAAAATAGCCGCAAATCGACCTCCCCTTGCTCCAAGGCCTCAATGCATGGAGGCATGCAAAGAAACACAACTCCACTCCATCTCCATCGTTGATCCTATGACGGTTTGATCCAAGGGCCATAGTGAAGAAGCACACGGATCGCTGACATGACACGTTGAGTGGCCTCCGTTTCTCCTCTCCACCTATAAAAGGAGGCCTCCCCCTCCTCATTTGACACAATAACTCAAGGCAAGAGCATCACATTTGAGCAACACTCCAAGGGCTTAGGCCCTAGATAGCTTTCTAGAGTAGTAAGGGAGAGATGTGAGGGAGAGCTTGGGGAAACACCGGACTTGTCGGTGTCTCCCCAACTTGTACCTCGACGAGCATCTTTACTTCAACGGGTTTTCCCACTAAGTGAGTGTTCGTGGTTCTTTTGGTTATAAAGTCTTTGACTAGTTAAACTTTACTCTTACTCGTTTGTGGGTTCGCCGTCCATCCCCGTGGCAGATACTCTAGTAGAGG